GACACAAAACAAAGCAGCCCTTCCGATGGCGACTATAGGATTTGAAATCCACATGGTTAGTGTTGTGAAATACCTGCACAGTTCAGCTCAGTTGACATCATGTAGACTACTGCAGAATTGATTTCAAACAACAAGCATCTACAGGAAATATTTTCAATAATATGCTGAGAAGAAATGGCTTCGCAGGACAGCTGTCAGAACTGTCCATAATATTACATGCAAAAATATATTTCCTATAAAGGAATATGAATGAGGTTGTGAAGAGATGAATACGTATATATATGTATGTACGTAGGCTTTTGAAAGACTGGAAAAGTCTCCATGGCCGTGACAAAACGCTCAGAGAACATTGTCATTTCTGTAGATGACCATGTCCTTTGTGAAAGCAGCTGATGCTTTACACACTAAAAAACCCATTGACTTCCCTCTCATACAGCTCCACATCAGCTGCCTTCATAACGGCCACAGCAGCCGTGAGGCTGTGTTGATCCATAGAACGGGCTGGAAAAGACAGGCCAGCAGCTCACAGCATGTTTACCTGATACTACAACCTATGTGTACTTGATCCTTCAGGGTAAACAGCTCGACCTACAGAAGCCACAGGCAGCCAAACACACAGTTTCTGTGCAGTGGCAAATCAGATAAACATTAGAAAACATATATTATAAAGGCCCTAAATTATCTTTTAGGTTTATTTTGCATAGATAAGTAAAGAAAAGTAAAATTAAAAAAGTAAATATTCCTGGGATTAATTGAAATGTCTATAGAAAATTATTTTCCAGACATGCATTTCCTTTTCCCGTTTATCATAACTTGACACTTGGTTTGAGAGGGAAAATTACTGGCTATGAATTCTGAGGAGGAAATACACTCAGTTGGGTTATTAGATACACCAAGCAAAATCAAATGCAGTGTAATATAAAAGTCCTGCAAAAAATCATGCCATGTTCATGTCAAAGTTCAGCTTGAGTTGAAACTGCTATAGAGAGGCACTCACTGAATGATCATGTTGGTGGCTGATGTCTGTAATGCTGTTGAATTGTACTGCATCACATGGATAGGTTCGTTTTTTATTTTCAATATTAAAAACATTAAAAGTTAAAAACTTTAAGTAAAAGGCAATGTGTTTTTTTCCCCCTTGGCTCTAGCTTACATACAGATAGGATAATGATAAATGTGATCAGCCTATCACAATAAGCACATGTTCTAGCTTCAGGGAGGAAACATGACAGAGAAAACAGCAGGAGGTAAATCCATGCTTCAAAACATCACTCAAAGACAGATGAGTGGCATCACAGACACATCCATGTTTTTTTTTTCCTATAGCGCCTGCAAAACGGGAAATATAAATCACCTCAAACTTGAAAGTTCACTCCGGTTAACGTAACTTTTGCAGAGTAGTTATTCAGAGTGTGTGTCATCTTCTCTCTATTCGTGGCTGTGGTGAGATTCCTACCTTCAGGACCTGCTCTTAATAGTTATTTCTACTCATATAAAATGTCATCAATAAGGTGCAATAACTCATGTTATGGTAGTTTGGTTTTAATTATAGAGAGTTTTAAAATATGTAATTGCTTTTCAGTCAAATTTAGCCAAGATATTAAGTCACGATATTATGATCCTCAGGCCCAGAAACCCTAAATTACACTGACTTTGTCTAAATTGCATTGAATTGTAAAGCTGTATTATTTTCCCCTCTTGCAGGTAATGGGAGCTACTGTGACACCTCTCATATGTCTTCACAATGCCATCTTGTGGTAAAATCCTATATGCAAAACATAGGCGGCTTCAGAGATTGTACTTAATTACAGCAGCACAAAAAAACACATCCATCATGACTCATCTTGTAAATTAGCCACATTTTAATTATAACACATTATAGCCAGTGTGTTCCCAGAGACAAGATTTAACTTATTCGTTTCTCCTAGAGATGTGCTATCAGCACTTTTTTAAATTCTGCTCTCTGTAGGCTACTCCACCTTGCCGCCTATTTATAAAGATAAAAGATACAAGAGTAATATGCCAGTTTTCATTCTGTGGACAACAAAGAAGAATCACTGCTCATCAAGAGAGTTCAATAAATGGACTTCAGAGTTTTATTATGGGAGTAACCATATGAAAAGTGAATCTGTCTCCCTTTGTGCAGACTCTCTAGATCTAGTCTAGTTCGTGCAAATTCATTTTCTTTAAACTTCCACTTGCTTTGTGCTCTTACAAAAATACATTGCTTTCTTTATACTATAAAAAAATAGTTAAACTGCCGTGTTTGTGCACATAAGATGGCAAATGTATATTTCATATTGTGTCTTGATACCTTAATTGCTACTGTTAAGAATAATACAAATAACAAAGGTATGAATATTTTTTCCCCTGTAAAGATGTTTATTATCAATTAATGAAGGATGGATTTGGCATCAGATTTTATTCCTTGATTGTTAGCTCTTTTAGACATTAAGAAATACTGTCTCCTTTGTAGGATTTGGCAGACACCAACACTATCAGCATGCTTGTTCAATTACCAAATATCATCCAAAACTATCCCTGACATTGGTCCAAATTTTGTAAAAACTTGCAGTTAGAGGAATTTTCTGTATAACATCTGACAAGCACTTCATATGATGGTAGTCGAGTTTCCTCCCACCATTTGAATATATTCTAATGGCTTCCTATATGGTCGGACAACACATCGTACAAAACTCCAGCCTGAACACTTACCATGGCCCCAACCCTAACCCCAACCATCTGTATTCCAAAGCATTTGATTAGTGGTGCATATCATCTGCAGTGACATCCCAGAAGGACAGTACGTCTTTCCCCTTATCAAATCTAGTGGCATGTTCCAAAGGTTTACAACTTTACCCGCGTGACCTTAAACTCATTGTGGTGATTGGTTTATAGGTCCTGTCAACAGGGTCTGTGTATGCTGCATTTTTATCAATGAAGCCCTACCGCCAGCGAACGCTCAGTGTGACCCGTGTTTCATCTATGTCACAAGTCTGATAAAAAATAGACTTTTTATTACCTGCTGCAGTTATCCTCTTTGTTTTATATTAACTTATAAGTGCTTGAATAAAATGAGCGTGTGCAAATGGTGAAGCATCATTAATGGATGTGCCTGTGTGATCCATCTTGAAGTATATAGAATTATCTAAGTCTTCTTACTATGACATTGTCAACAGGTTTTGGAATCTTGGAATCTGCTGTTTATGGAGCTGAAGGAAAACTACTCGCTAGAACCTGATGAGAAGGAAGAGAACAAAGATGGCCCAAAACAATGAACTACCTAATGCTGAGCTGAGGTTTTTCTCCAATTATGAGAGAAGCAGCGGTTCATGGGAGAAAAGGATTGAAGATGTTATGCAGATAAAAGAAAATCCAATCCAGCCTGATCAGCCTCTTCATAAAGTTAACATGTAACCAGAAAGTCACCAATTGCAGCATCATGGACTACATGACTACATGAATGTTACAGCAGTGACAAATGAAGAAGAAAGTCATCATTTAGACCATTTGTCAGAGTTGGAAACCGAGTTGAAGAGCTACGAGAGCCACCACGACACTGACTTGAATGATGACATAATGAAGGCAAGTGGCTCAACTGTGAGTGTGAGGCTGAAGAGATAAAAAGGACTCAGAGATAACCTGCTACAACTGCAGCCGGGAGCGTACTGGCGAGCACAGAGATAGGGCTGCAGTTTTAGCAAGAGCTCCACTCAGAAATGCAAATTGGAGATTAAAAAAAAGAGACAATGTCAAACAAGCAACCAGCGCTGAGGACCAGGTATTTGCATTCTGATACATCACACTAAACCAAAGATTGTGTTACATGAATGGAAGGGATAGTGAGATAAAGCTCCCAGTGTGTCACTGAAGATGTCCGCATATATCAGACATCCTCTCTTGATCTACACCTAGAGCCAATAAAATAACCCTTGAATATTGTCTCACAACATTGGTGCAAATGTTGTACTATACCTGCAAGTTGAAAATGTAAAGAATAAAAGTTGGTTGCACATTTAAGAATTTAACTGCAGGGTATTGCAATCCTGAGTTATTAATAAGGAGTGTTTCTGGTTTAAGCATCACCAATGCTTAAAATGTGTAAGTATTCCTAAGTGAATTACGTTACACAGGTTTTCTTTATGATGACAGTAGAACTGCAATGTCTCAGCTATTTCTTCTCTCTACCATCTTTTCATTCCCATTTGACATTTCACCTTTTATTTTCCTTCTCACTGCCTACAATTGCAATAGTTTGCCAGAGGCCTCGGTCCAGAGGCTTTGAGCTGAAGATGTGAAAGGTTTTTGCAAACTCTGATGTTCTACTCTCTCTCTGTGAGCTCATATGCATGTTCTGTGACAGATGTAACACAGCTCTGATAAATACTCAAGCTGTTATCCCCAAGTGGAGTTGAGGTGCATGCTACTGCTAACTGTGTTAAGTCCTCAGTTACCAAAATCAGGTTGAAATATCAAGTATTGTCAGGATGTATTAAATCTATCCACGTTGAGGTCTGAAGTCTGACATTGAAATAAAATTGAAAGCATTTATGTTTTACTTTGAATAATTACCAGATTTTCAATTCGGACTGACACTGACTCATCCATCATGTAACAGGTGTCTAGGATGGAAGCGCAGTTGATTTTTTTTTTTTTTATAATTAACGACCTGAAACCAGAACTATTAAAGACCATGGTGGTCAAGCGGGCAGGTGGTACAATGAGGCACCTATAGGGGCAGATTATCCACAGTCTCTCAATTGGCTTGGTATGTAAATGTGTTGCCTCCGAAACCCACCTCACCTTCTGACTGTACAGTGCCACACCAGTGTAAGTGTTGATGTGTAACCATAGCACGACGTCAACTTCCAGAGCACTGTTCAATAGCCGCCATCTTCTGGTGTGCAGAAAATGCTGGTTGTGATTCTAGGAACTGCTCTGTCATTTGTAATTCTGTGGTTGAGATGTCGACAGCCAGTGCCTGAAGGTAAAATACGAACCTGCTATGCGGCTCACGTAGCTCCCCCACAGTAGCTGTTCCCGATTCTCTGTAGGGAGATAGTAATGCTGAAATGCCTTGTTTTGATGTGTGCACAAGAATAGATAGCTTCTACTGCTGAAGTAGCTTAGCTAGTGCACTGCTCAGGGCCATAACTGTGAACAGATATATAACCTATGAAAATGTCCAAGAAATGTCCGTGGCCTCAGTTTCCAAGCAACCGGTACAGCTGAATTGATTACTCTCTTCCTTTAAGCCCAAAAGAGATCTGCCATTTTCAGAGCTCCCACTCTGTTTTACAAGAGGTCGTTTTGGTAATTTAGAAGAATGGAAAACACTTTTCTTTCATGCACAAATAGTGTTTTACCACCCTAATGTGAAAAAGGGTAGAGGCAATAGTGTCATACTGAGATAATCACTTCTGTCCTTCAACAGCTTTATTGGCTCCTGGTCAAATACCACATTGTTTTTAAAAGATTCTGTTCCTGACCTTTAAGACCAGCCATAATCTCCTGCACATCTACACACCTTCTGCACTCTCAGGTCTTCTTCTTGTCCTCACCTCACTGTACCTCCTGCCCGCTTGCCCACCATGGGATCTAGAGCCTTCAGCCACTCTGCTCCCTGCCTCTGGAACTCTCCACCATTCATAACATTGACTCTCTCTCTCCATTTTTGCAAATAAATGCATCATTATTATTATTATATAGTTAGATAGATAGATAGATGGATAGATAGATGGATAGACATACTTGATTCATCCCCGAGGGGGAAATTCTTGAAGTCTTGAGGTTTGAGTGTTTGGTGGTAAATCTGTCGCTGACCATTACGACCAATATTCAAGTCTTTACAAGAGCTGTAACGATAACAAAAAAAGTAAAATCATGAAACAATCATGTAATGAAGGTAAAATGATTCTATTGTAATACACAATTTTGGTGTATTGTCATTTAAACCTTTCATAGAATATAATCATCTCATTATTCACATGTAACAGTTCACAGTTTTTGAAAAGTGCTGTAAAATGACTGTAACTGAAGCACACAATAATTAAAACTGTTCAGCACTGGAACAAAACAGAAAATCTAGGATGCATAAAAAACATTTTAGGTTTCTTATTTATTTCCTGTACCCTATTTTCCAAGTGTGTTGTGTGTGTATTGACGTTCATTTCATCTATGGCACGATGATAGGATTACAGAGTTATTGTCTCCAGCTCCTTGTTTCCTGCTGTGCCTGTCCTGACTTGATCCTGCGGCTGTGTGTGCTGCTGAATGGGCGTGTCTTCCGAGTGTGTCGCCACGTTTGAGTCTCCTCCTCGAATTACCTCCAAAAGCTGCTGCAGTATATAAAAAGGACCCTTTCTTCCACCACAACTATACTACTACTCTGAAAATGTGTTCGATAGCCAGTCCACCTGAAGGTAAACCCATGTTTTTGCCTGTGCTCAGCATCAACCACTGCCGTTGTTAGATTCTCAGGCAGCCTTCAGTGCGTCACCCAGCTCGCCTCTTTGTCAACACATTCTCTAAATCAAATTCTGACTCAAACCACCTTGACTCAATAAATATCTGATTATTGCCACTATCTGTTATTCATAATCTCACATGCTCTATGTCATCCTTCCTCTAACTTTGATAAACACAACCTGAATGCAATGAAGTCAGCAGATATGCCTCTCAACTTTTTGTGACTTTCAGTATGTTGTCCAGCACAATCTTGCTCGAGCTGCGGTATCTTTTTGCAATATTAATTTAATAAATAATATATTCACATACTTCAAGAAAAATAGCATCAACCTAAATTTTATTTTTACAGAATAATAAAAAAAAGGCTGCTATTTATCTATTTCCGTCAATATGTTCTAAAACGTGAAAGGATGTCATCTTCACATGGTGTCATATTTGGGCGAGTGAATCTTCAACCAGCGACTCCGCACATCCGCAAAACAAGAATAGATTCCTCTCAGGAGAAGCTGCTGTGGACTCTCAGTTCCATTACTAAACTGTCAGTGCGTCACAGTGGGAGCGCAGTGCTTTTAAAGAGGATGAGAGGAGTCTGTTATGAAAGGCAGACTGACCCTAGCTCCTCGCTCTGGGAGCCACCAGACCCTGAAGACAGAGAGCCACAAAGTACCTCAAACTCCGAGACTGTCCGACACGCAGGTCAGTTTCCACCGGGTTTGTTTCATCAGTGTCATGATCAAGTTGGACAGGCCAACCCTTCCTCAACTCCCGCTGCTCTGCTCTCACTGTTGTTTACTGTTGTTCCAATTGGTGGTAGATTTGCATAACGCTTTCATCATCAAAGTTCAGTTATGTATAAATTCAATCCAGTTTTATAAAAGTGCCTAAAACACATACCGATGTTACTCTTATAAGCTGCCCTGTGCTCACGATGAAAACAAAGTAGATGTGCTTTGTTTGTGGGAAACGTTTTTTATCTGGCAGACTGTAGTGCTGCAGGTTGGTTATACAATTTTGATGTTAATACAAAAGACAGCTTCTTAAAAAAGTCAATCTGTGTCCACAGCAGGGACGCTGGGTGTCGGAGTCAGTCTCTATATGACCTCATTCCAAATTTTGTGTCATTTGAATGGCCTGGATCATTTATATCTGACAGTTACTTACAACATTCTACTTTAAATTAAAAAAGGTTTCCTCCACCTCAGGTACATAACAGAAATAAGGCATAAGAACTGTAAGGAGACTGTGATAGTTACACCATCAGGTCACTCAGTGTTGATATAATTTTCACTTCTACATTTCATTTGAGTTGGGTGCACACTATTTAGCCAATATTCTTGCTTTCTTTCTCTTTAATTTGCAATAATACTTACTCTGTGTTTGTACCTGCAGCTCCCCTGGCAAAAAGCAGGAAGCCTGCAGGAAGTGGCATTTTAAGCCCAGCCCACAGGAAGTGGAGGAGGCCAAAGGAAGATTGAAGAGGGGGGGATTAGATTTAGAATGGGTTAAAATATTACTTTATTATTTGTTAAAAGTTAATCCTATTCATTTGTGTATATATTCATTTTGATAGGTTTTTTATGTTTGTATGTTGGTAGTTTCTTTGGGTAGTTAAGTTTGATTAGGTTTCCCCTGTGTACCTGTCTGGACTAGTCCACCTCTGTATATATACCCCCTGTCTGTCATTTGTAAGAGAAGGTCTATTAGTTATGTTGAAGCTGTAGTTACCTTATTTCTTAGTTGACCTCTTAAAGTTTGGGCCCTAGTTTGCGGTTTTATTTTCCATTTTTTCTAAATAGTATGAGTATTTTGGGGTATTTGTCATTTGAGAAAAAAAATATTTTTCCAATTTCATTAAAAAGGAAAATTACTTTTTACATCTTTGTCCTTCGGCTTTCTGCTTAGTCCCTAACAGAGACAAAGAGGGATTGTGTGAGAAATATGACCCATCACCAGATTATTAAAGTCCACAATACTGCATCTCCAGTTTCATACAGGAGATAGTTGGTATACGTGTGTCTACTGATGTGCATTCACCCCACTGAGACATCTGTCACAGTTTGTCACACTGAACAGAGCGGTCCAGTTCATACACTTCACTGATAGACTGAGAATAATAGTTTCAATCATACTATATGATGCACTTATACAATGTTGAACAAACTGACAGCACATTTTATGATTCTAGCCCAAGAACATCACACAGGGCAGAAATTGAGAACAATTATGAAACTGTGCAATGAAAAGATGTAAGATAATGTAATTTGCAATATTTCTGCCTGGGTTAACTCCTTCAAATGCTCAATTTTAACAGGAATGGTAAATGTTTTCAAAAATGGTCAAACAGTCAACTTAAATTATTTGGTAAACACTGTAAACGTGCAGCAGACACACTTTCTTGTGCAGTCTGCAGACGTCTTCACATGGCCTCGGGAGGCCTGAGGACTGATTCATAACACACAAGCCCAAAGTTCATCCCCTTCTTGCCCTGAAGCCCTGTGACTTTGCTTGTATCTCACCATGAACACTTGGATCTTTCTGGAGTGTACCGCACCTAGTGTCTCTAAACAGCAATGGCGTAACCTTGATATTGCTTTTCTCCTCACAAACCACATGGTTGGACACAACCTAATGTTGCAAGTGTCATCTTTATCACCAGTACATGTTTCTGCACTTTGCTGACTCTCTGATGAAGGGGCGACGTTCTGCACATGCACATACTGTGCTACCACTTTCAGCGCCAGATCATAGATCGAAGCAGCAGCAGCAGTGCACTGAACCAAGGTCAATTTCCCTTGATGGCATTTGTACCAGAGAGAATTGATATTTCTGAAATTGTATCAGGTGCATTATAAAAATCCCAAAAATTCATGCTGCTGGGAAAAGTGTGAATCAACAGATGACAAGAGAGCTGCTCGGATGAGTCACTGTCGACCATCCTGCCTGTGGTCACCCTACTGTGCAGAGAATAAGATGCCCCAGCAACTATCTTTCAATGAACAGCATGTGCAAGGCATTCGAGTATTTTCATTCTGCGTCATGTCTGAAGGATGAAGTTGTCTCCAGCCACTTGCAAACTGCTTCTCTCAAGGATAAGATGCCACAATGCTCAGTCACAACACTGGCCATCGAGAGTTCAGCTTTATAGGACAAATGTGATTTTGAAAGGATGCATTAATAATTTTAAACTAACTGAATTAAGTACAGTGGAAACAGCTTCCAGTGATCTCATTTGTCCCGGGCTCGACACAGCTGGCAGTCCGCAGTGCAAATGATAGAGACACAGACAGGAGCAGTAAATTACTCACAGAGCTGGAAAAAAATGTAAAAACCTTTTTATGGTCCAAACATGTATGAAAAGATCGCAGATGAACACTGTAAGCAGATTACCTGATCACTATAAACAATTTATTTAAAGGAACGATTCTGTCCC